TATAACTTTTTTTAATGGACAAAAAACTTTTGCCAGTCTGATCAAATAATTTTAATCTTAGATTGCTACTTCTAAAATCTGAAGATATTTCAAATATATAAAGAATAAATTAAGATACTTTTATTCAAATTTTTCACATTTTTATTACTTCCCATTTTTTTACATTTGTTATGGAAGGTCATGCACATTGCCTTGTGGGATGCAATATTCTACATAATGGTTGTATACTGCACATTTTAGCTTAAGTAGAAGGTCAGAAAAATTGCATACTGAATTCTTACTATTTATTACAGAAATAGTAAGAGTAGGATGTTAGGGGACTGAATCCAGCCAAAGTGACTACAGTACACAGTGCAAGTTTGTATGTACATACTGTTGTAATACTTCATTTTGTCCTCAAGGTGGCACAATACATCAAGTTTGAGCTTCCTGTTTTACAAAGCTTCATTGCTAAGCTGCAAGAGGAAGAAGAAAGAGAGATGCAGAAACTGAAGAACCATGACTTTCTCTAAATAAGCTTCATTGGATAAACAGCAGACTGTTACTTAGCCTTATTTTTCACAAAGGAAAGCAAATGGGTACAAAAAAATTGTAACATTGTTTGACTTTCACTCATGCACAATGATAATAATAATAAGCCGTAAGAATGGTAATTCAAAATTTGATATAATGTAGAGCCCATATTGTGTGAATAAATAGACAAGAAAGAAAGAAAATTTCTTAAAAATCTAATGTATTTGCCTTATTTGATTTTAAAGTATTTAATATGTATTTCACAGTGTATGTGCACATTTTTGCCATTGATAATAAAAAACATTGAGACAATTACTGAAATATTTTTTTTCATGAACGTGCATGCACATTTACCTCAGTAAAAGCTGTCATAACATTGTATTGATCCCTGTAGTTGTTCCTAGTGTAATACATTTAACATTTGAATGAGTCTGAATAAGCAGTAGAGCTAAAAAATAATAATAACAGTCCATTCAGCAAGGATACATCTTACACTACACTATATTAGCCCATTGCTCCACAGTGTTAAGCATGACATTTAAAAAATAAATAAATAAATCTTAATTTTTGATGTGGAATAAAGATTTGTGATCTCTCCTAATTAATTTTTTTAATTTCTTTATTATTCCTAAGCACTGATCTGTTACTATTACAACTGAGATATGCAAACGCAATGGCCAGGGATAATAGACACAAGGGTAGAGTGTAGGAGCAGTGGGATGTAAATCTTAATAGAAATTGCTTTAAAATGAGTAAAAGCCAGACTAGTACCAGGCTGTAATTCATCCTCTGCTGTGCCTTTGTTCTCGAGTGGGCGGGGCTGTTCAGCATCCCTGATCGGTCATTCGCTGCTGTTGAATGAGTGACAGTTCCATAAGGTGGTTGTTTACAACATAGAGCAGCTCCTCACAGTAAGGTTGAGCAGTTCAAGCAGTGAATAGAAGCCAGTGATCAGCACTATCACCAGGTAAGATGCTTCTGTTTCTAGCGACAGATGGGGATTTGATGAGATTTGCAAAAATATGGAAGAGAACAAATGTTTTTAGAACTAAATACTGAGATGAAGCATTTAATATGTCAAATCTAATGTGATATATAATCATGTATTTTGAGATACAGTCAATGATATCCTAAAGATTTTAATTGGTTTATTTGTAATTTATTTAATTCATTTTATTATTTTTTAAATATTAGATGTTTGAAATAAACATTATGGTATCAACATAAATGTCTTTGTAATTCAATAAATTTATTATAATGAATATGTAATACTTCATTTTGTCCTCAAGGTGGCACAATACATCAAGTTTGAGCTTCCTGTTTTACAAAGCTTCATTGCTAAGCTGCAAGAGGAAGAAGAAAGAGAGATGCAGAAACTGAAGAAGAGGTACAGCCTGAGTCACACGTTATACATTTTAGAGGCATTTGAAATCATTATGCGCACTCATTTCTTTTCTGTGCCCTTATTTCAGGTACGCTGACATGCAACGTATCATCAAGAAATACATGCGGTCTTAAGCTGATTCAACTACATTATGAAGCTGTTCAGGCATGTATCATGCATCTGAACACCATCTTTAAAGCACCAGCATCGACAAAATGGTGCTATCTCAGGAAAAGGAACATTTTTATTATAAATAAATAATATATATATA